GGTAAGTCACTGAAACTTTGCAGTGTCTCATGGGACTTTCTGCCTGGTTTATTCCAAGTAACCACATGGAGACTTGGGGAAAACATTTCCAGCCATGATGACTCAGGGGTTGTTACTCTGTGACTGTAAGTGGCAGAGCAGTTATTGATTGGGGGAGGGCATATTTTGCACTGATGAAATCACAAGTTCAAACAAACAAACTAAAAATGCAATTGTATTTATTTTTCTGGGTACACATTATTTCTCCTCAAAGGAATGTAGGCCGCTTGAGAGCAAATACTGTTGTATGTTTTTGTGTGTGTGTCATTATCTTTCATCTTTGTAGCTCTATCCCCTGGCATATAGTAGGGCCTTAATAAATGCTTGTTACATGAAATGATCAAATGTACAAGGAGAAGATTATCTCTATTTATCTATATACACATACATTATTGATATGTCTTACATACCAAACCTGTGCCAGAGAAATTTGATACAAAAAATTTTCCCCCATTTGACCACATCTCTTATTCTAGATGCGTTAATGTTGTTGTGCAGAAGCCTTTCGGTGTCATGTAATCAAAGTTACCCACTGCATCTTTTGTGCTTACCTCTATCTCTTATTTCCGTTAAGAATACATCTCCTATCCATAGCTGTGAGAGGTATATGATCTGTTTCTCTTCTGATTTTTTAATAGTTTGATCATTAATGATTAGGTTGAGTATTCATTTAGAATGTATTGGGGAATATGGTGTAAGGATTGGTCTAAGTCAGATTGCTTTCCAGTTTCCCTGGCAGTTTTTATCAAATAAGGTTTTTCCTAGGTAATTTATGTTTTCCGCTTTATCAGACATTGAATTATTGAATTCCATTCTTTCTAATTCTCCCTTTATCTGTCCCATTTATCTATCTCTCTGTTTTTCAACCAATACCATATAGTTTTGGTTACTGATGCTTTATAATATGATTCAAGATCTAGAAGTGCTATTCTCCCTTAATCCCTATTTCTTTTCATCATTTCCCTTGAGATTCTAGGTCTTTTGTTTTTTATAAATGAATTTTGTTATTATTCTGTCAAGTTCTATAAGGCACTCCCTTGGTCATTTGATTGGGATAGCATTAAAAGTGTAAAATAACTTTGGAAGTATTGTGATTTTTATCTTACTGGCACAGCTTACCCATGAGCACTGAATATTCCTCTACCTACTGAAGTGGTTTATTTCTTTAAGGAGAAATTTTAACTGAATCTATACAAGTCTTTTTTGTTCTGGAACAGCTCATTTTGATATGGTACTGATGTCTTATTCAAAGGATTGACTGGGGGGCCCCAGAATCTTTGAAAATGAGTTCTTGGCCAAATGTAGACCATCCCTTTGTTGGATACAGCAATCACTCCACTGGACAGATGGTTGACTTTAGGGGAAAATGTCAATTACCTGATTTCTAGGAATAAGTTTATCAAAATTAAGGCTCCCAGTGGGCAAATGAGAAAAAAGACCTCATAAAAAATGAGAGACACACAGAGAGAGACAAAGAGAGACCTAGAGAGGGCTTATAGAAAATGAACAAAGACACATCTGTACCTTAAGTGAGACTGGACCTAGATGCCACCCACTGGTCCACCCATCTGAGAGACAGGACTGACATTCAGCCCATAAGAATGGGTAAGGGAGTGTGATTAAAGCAGAAAACCAGGAGGTGCTGAGGAGATGGAAGGGCCTATGTCTGAGCCAAGGAGAAAATGGGCAGTGGAGAGATTAGCACTTCCTGAGATGAGGAACTGCTTGGAAACTCTAGTAGTTATGTGAAGAGATGCAGGTGGCATAAAATCAGGATAATGATGTTTGCATTGCTTGCCTGTGAGGAAACTGCTAGAGAAATGGGAAGAGGTGCATTTATTATTATTTGCTCTACATTCTTTTTTTAAGGCAATTGGGGTTAAGTGACTTGCCCAAGGTCACACAGCTAGTAAGTGTCAAGTGTATAGTCTGAGGTCACATTTGAACTCAGGTCCTCCTGACTTTAAGGCTAGTGCTCTATCCACTGCACCACCTAGCTGTCCCATTCTATGTTCTTTATAAGCTCCTCTGCCTTCTTTTAACTGATTTTTTCCAAAGACCAAAAAATCTACTTTTTTCTTCCTCTCACCTGCCCTCAAATGAAAACAAAACAAAACAAAACAAAACATCCTTGTAACAAATATGCATAGTCAAGCAAAACAAATTCTCACATTGACTTTGGCCCCCCAAAAATTGTATTTTTAAACAATCTAATGTTTATTGATAGTGTGGTAGAATGGAAGGAGCTCTGACCTTGGAGTCAAAGGACCTGAGTTTGAATCCCACCTTAGACATTATTTGTGTGATCTAGATGGACTAGATGGCCTTTTAGGTCCTTATTTCCAAATACATCTATTCCTCTTCCCTTACCCAAGGAGCCATCTCTTTTAAAAGAAAGAGGAGGAAAAAAACCTCAGGCCAGCGAAAGATACAAAGATAAGATTAGTTCTTGATTTGGAGTTAGGATCTGAGCTCAACTCTCAAGTCCCACACTTATTTGTGTGACTTTGGGTGAATCATTTCACATCCATGGGCCTCAGTTTCTCCAAGTATAAAATTTGAAGGTCAGACCTGATGACCTCAGAAGTCTCTTCCATGTTTGTCTATGAAAATCAACCAGTATATCAACCAAGGCTGATGATATATTCATTATTCCAACCCCTTCGTCCTCCACCTCTGCAAAGAATCAAGGACGGGTCATTTTGTCTGTAACTTATGATTATTATAAAAAGTGCATCTCCAAGGTTAGTGTAAGGTAGTTTGGAACCAAGGAAATAACTCGGGAATAATAGAGGATGGGGAGTCTTTTTTCTAGAGTGTTAGAGGGCTAGGAAGACAGCTTCGTCCAGGACTGACAGAGGTGGGGGAGCGTCAAGAAGAATCAGTCAGGATTCAGGATTCAGTTGAGGTTTCGGGAAGCCTGGGAGCTTCTTTTCCCAGGAAGTTGTGTTCTCTGAAAAGGGAGGCCCTTGGAAGAAATGTTTCCAACAGTCCTTCCAGCTCTGACTTTGATGGCCCTATGCAACTTTGTCTCATTCTTATTCTTTTGGGAAATCCAGACCAGGTACTCTTGCTTCCTTTCCACAATGCCTGACCTCGTGGTGTGTAACTAGCAGGCCAAATGAGGTGGGTGACGTGCTCATTTATCTCCTGTGAATTGCTGCATCCCCTGCTACTTTCCAAAGCTCCTAAAGTTTTCTTTCTCGTAGCTGTGATTACACTGAAGGGATTAGTCGTCCTTCCCTCCCTCTCCCCCCAACAATGGGGTTTCTTTGATGTGGCTGGAGGGTAGCAGGGAGATTTCTTACTCCAGGGGACCAAATCTTAATCTTCTTCGTGATTCTTTCTGGATCAGAGCTGGGTTAAGCCCATTACATCCCTGCCCTTTCATCCCCCCAGGATCTCAGATCTCCAGCACTGTCGGGTCTCAGAGTTACCAAGAGTCTGTCAGATTTGAAGAGAGAAACAAAAGGGGAGGATTCCCTGAACTCCAGGGAACCTCCAAAGAGATGCAATATCACAAATAATCTTAGTGAATTTTTTTTCTTGCTCTCTGGTTCTTTGTTCCTTTCTCTTTTTCTCTTTCCTTCTTTTCTCTTTTTCTCTGGTTTGCTTTTTCTCTTCCTTTTTTCCTTCTTCCCTCCCTCCCTCCTCTTCTTTCCCTCCCTCCCTCATTTCTTTCTTCTTTCTTTCTTTCCTTCCTGCTTTCTTCCCTCCCATCATAAATTCAGGTCTAAAGGGACCTAAGAGGTCATCGAATCCAACACTATCATTTTACAAATATTAGAAAACTCAGGAAAGGTTAAGTGATTTGCCGACGCTCATAAAGCTAAGTGTCTGAGAGGATTTGAAACTCGGATTTCCTGATTGCAAGTCCAGGGCCCTATCCGCCCCTTACTCCCACCCCCACACCCTCTCTGTCTCTCTCAATGTCTCTCGCTCTCTGTCTCTGTCCGTCTGTCTCTCTCACCTTAGGGTTCAGAAACATGAAAATTAAAACAGAATATGGACAGCAGCTCCAGGCCCAGGCTGCATACTTTGTTTCTTGCTCACACCTTCCCCATTCCAAGAATACGCTTCAGGCTGTCGCTTTGTTCCACTTGCCGCAGTTTAATGCTCCAGCCTCGGACTCCAACGTTAGGAAGAACCGAACCCCCACAATCGTCTCCCACAAAATCTGATGTTTAAGGGTGGGGAGGGCACAATGCGAGGGCGGGGAAGGATGTTGGGTGGAAGAAAACGAAGACTGAGACGGGGAAGACGGCGAAGGGAACAAAATGGAGAGGACCTGCATAGAAATCCCATCCCCAGAGTTTGGCGATACTCTTAGGAACTGTTGAAAAAGAAGGGAGGAGGCCAGCAGGTGAGAAGGAGACCCAGCCCCGGGGTTAGGGAGAAGGGGAGACCGAGTTGGGGAGAATAGAGCGGGAGGAGCACTGTCTTCCAGCAGGGGGCCCCCCGAGTCCGTTTCTTAGGCTAAGGAGAAGGAGCTAGATCGGGAGATGGAAGCGACTCTGACGATTCAGATAGAGGAAAAAGAGAAAATTACTGCAAAATAGAGGCTAGGAGAGGATGACTGAGAAGCTTTCAAACTCCACGGCTTTCTGTCCCGGTGGAAATCCTCCGGTGCTAACTCTCGCAGCAGTGGGGAGGGGGAGGAGGAGACGGACAGTGAAGGGGTGGGGAGGAGAAGCAGGTTCTTTTTCCAGACACCTGGAGCCCTTCGCCCCAGTCTCACCGGTCAGGGATATGTGGAGCGGGACGAGGGGTCTGGGGGGAAGCGGGCGAGAGAGGTGTGAGTGGGCTGAGGCAGGGGACAGGAGGAGGGAAGACAAGAGGGGAGCAGAGGGTGTAGACTGAAGCGGAGTGGCCAGCAGGAGGAGGAGGAGGAGGAGGAGGAGGAGGAGGAGGAGGAGGAGGAGGGCGGAGCTCCAGAAGCCCAGGCGAGAGACACCGGGGAGGAGGAGCGGGCGGGCTGGCCAGCGTTGTCAGCCCGGGCCGGAGCAGAAGCTGGAGCTCCCCGAGCCCAATGAGTCACCAACACGTGGAGTTAGTCTCGCAGACTAGGAGAGAAGCCCCGACGGACGGAAAGGAGCTGGGGCGAAGAGGAGAAAAACTGATCCACCCACCAGCCCATCCCCAAACTTTCGAGGGATCTTTTCTCCTTCCCCCTACCCCCACTAGATCTTCATCTTCTCCCTTCCTCAACACCAGTCTGGGCTCGGCCCGGTCACCCCAGGGGAGGAGGTGCCTAACGTGCCCTCCCAGAAGCAGGGCGGAGGCGCCCCTCGGGGACCCTGAGAGCTTCGAGGACTTCTAGGTTGCTGCAGAGGGTGCGAGCCGCGGTACTAGACAACGGCGGGGAGACGGGCTGCGCCCCCTGCTCTCCTTTCCCCCTCCCGCGTAGGCACCTCCCAGCGGAGCTTGACTGTCAGTCTACTGGGTTCACCAGCCAGCGTGAGAGGAGCCCCGGTCAGACGGGACGGGACCGAAGTAGTCAGCGCCGGAGCCAAGGGCAGGTAACAGGGACGTACGGACCACGGTGAATGGAGCCCAAGGCCATAGACCGGAGCTTCCTCATCCCCACCTCCCCGTGGGTTATACGTTTAGATCCCTTTTTGCAAAGTTTCCCGCCCCCCTACCCCCCACCCATTCCTATGGCGTTTCTGGAAACCAAGAGGGCGGCTTACCTGGCTAGCTCCTGAGGGCAGGCCCTGGGTTGGGGAGAATTGCACCCCGGATGGGGAGCTCTGCCCTCGTTTTCCTTACCCTCGCTGTCTCTAATATGCGGGGAGGGGAAGATCAAGCTTGGAGGGAGCTTGACTTGAAAGTCCTGAGTGTCCTGGCCTCCGCGGAAATTGGTAGTCATCCTGGTTTAACCCTTTGACGACCTCGCCATGTGGGCCCTTGGAAGCTGTGCCTGGCCCGCATGGCAGGACCCAGGCCTCCTTCAGTTTCTTGGGCGTGGGGGTGGGGCAGGAAGGGGGTAGTGGGCACTCACAGGAAATTTCCCCGCTACGAAGAGAAAAGGTGCTTAAAGGTCAGCGTGGGCAGGGAGACCCTGGACCCTCTCCTGGAGTTGGCGTGCCACTCCTCGGGATCCCCATTGCACCCCGATCCCCACCCTTCGCACCCCTGGATTCCGTGGGAGGACGGGAGTTGAGGACTGGGTCTTTGCGGGCGAGATGAGGGTGTCAATTCAACTGGCCTACAAAGTCCCAGTTCTCGGTTCCCAAGGACCTGCGCCCCCTCCCCTCCTTTCTTTCCCTTCCCCTCTCCTCTCTTTTTCTCCCACCCCGAGCCTTCAACCCTGGGTGGGTGGGGGCTGCCTGTCACCTCCTCGGGCTGGAGTGGGACAGAGAAGAATGGGGGGGGGCGGGGTTGAATAATTTAGAGAAGGAGTAACCTTCACCCCAGCTTGCAGAACTTAAGGGTCTGTGAGCAATACGGTGACTGGCAACTTAGTGAAACCTCCATGCAAATGTAACTCCAAAAATAAAAAAGACCCTAGTGGTGTTTGGGGCTATTCTAAATGCCATTAAAATAGGCCTGTTCATTACAATGGTCAACCTGAGGGGCCTGGCTCCGCTCTAGTTTGGAAGGACTCAGGTCCAGTCCTCAATCCCTCTCCTTTTGTGGGCCTGCCTCTGTTTCTCCAGCTGGAGAATGAGTTTCATTCTGGACAGGCTACACAAACTGGCTGCTGGGCATAGGGAGAGGGGGAATTTGACAGATCAACTCCAGGCAGCATTTTAGGAAGGAAAAAAACCAAGCAAAGTTACAGGGTTCTGGCCGTTTAGAAGGCATTTTTCCAGAGACAAGAGGTAGCCCCCTGGCTTTGAAGCAGAGTTTTCCCACAGATTCAAAGGGTTTGAAGAACTTTCTGTTGGAAGGAGTTCCAATGGGTTGTTATCCTAGTAGTGAGTAATAGTAGTAGCTCACTTTTATATCACACTCTAGTCTAAAACATTCTTCATAATGTGCCCGTGAGGTATTATTAATTCCCATTTACTAATTATAACAATTGAAATTACTATCTTGCTTTTTCTTATTTTATCAACATAGCAACAATGTTGCTATTATCCCAATTTACTGATAAGGAAACTGAGGTACAGAGAGTGAGAAATCAACTTGGTCAACATTACATAGTTAATAACGGGCAGAGCTGAGGCACAAATGCAAGGCTGGGGACTGAAAGTCCAGTGTTCTGTCTACTGTCAGTCAATAAGCATTTATTAAGTGCCTACTAAATATGAAGCACAGTACACACAGTGCTGGTGTCCTTTTGGGGGTGTGTGTGTGTGTGTGTGTGTGTGTGTGTGTGTGTGTGTGTGTGGCTGCACCCTTCGTTATAATCAGCTCTTATCCTTTGCTATTTTTTTTTAATAAGCAGTCCAGCCATCCTCTGCTTCTTCCTCCCCTAACCCTGTGCGTTGTTGTTGGGCTAAGGTATTGCATATATAGACAGGGTGTGTGTTAGGGGTTTCACAAACTTCACATATTTTGTCAAAGGGTCTCAAGGCATGACATAAGTCACTACTGGAGTGTGAAAGACAGAGAGGGTCTTTCTATGAGTTGAATAAGTTGAGCTGTTTGCTGCTAGCACTCAAATGAAAATCATTTATCTAGAAGAGATGAGGTCTTAAAATCTACTTGGGGGAGGTGACTTCTGGTTATTTAACCAGAATTGATTAAGGAGGGAGCAAAGTACAGCCCCCAAACCCTCACTGAACTGGGAGTCACAGGTCCTGGATTCAGATCCGGCTATTTCACTTAACGAGTGGGAGAATTGAAGCAAATCACTTTCGCGGCTCTGGACATTAATCTGTGAAATGAGAGGAGCTGGGCTGGATGACCTCTAAGGGCCTAAAAGCCTCCGGTCTGATCCTTTGATTTATATACTTCACTTGCTAGATTATCAGGAGGTATCCAAGGGAAAGTGTATGAGACAAGGGCATGGAATCATTCCTTTCTGAGTCTGTGCAGGCTTCTTTTGAAGTTTTTTGGAGTTTTTTCCTTTAAGAAAAGCCTCGGAGGAGTTTTCACTATGTCTTCTTCTACTTCAAAGAGCCACATATCTGAGGCAGAACACAAATGATGATATATGGAGTCTTGGCCTTGCTTCACTGAGGGCTTTTCCATTAGGAAGTTCCCAAGTCCCCCATGATAAAGTTAATCTCAGCCTTGGGTGATTTCTTGACGAACTGAAGCCATCAGTCAAGGATCAGCCTGGAGAAAGCCCCCCACAAGCTTTCTTTCTCCTTTTAGTGATCGAGAGGCAGTGAAGAACAGTGCATAACAAATCAGGCTTAGAGTCGGAAAGACCTAGCCCTGACAGTCCAGACTTTGATATCTGTTTTGGCCCTGTCACCCTAGGCAAGTTACTGAACCTCTTAGTGCCTCAGGCAGTCCTCTGAGGCTATAAGTGAGCTATAGAGTGGAGGGAGTGCCTCAGCTGGAGTTTCTAGGCTACATTGGAATCCTTCCCTGTCCCAACAAAACTAGGATTTTAGTCCTTATTTAGGAAGGAAATTGTGGCAGCCTTTATATCTTAATCAACGAAAAAGCTTAAATTAAGTTCTAGAAATAGGAAGAAGAGAGTTGTAACTGTTTGTTACCCTGGTAGTATGTGGCTAGTCAATCAATTAACAAGCCTTTGTATGTTCCAGCTCTGGGGCTAGGCACTGGGGAGACGAAGACAAAAATTAAGCAGCATCTGTCCTCAAAGAGCTTATAATCTAATCATAATAATAACTCACATTTCTTTTGTTAATGGATTTCTATTATGTTTTTACATCACTTTTGTTTCCAAATATCTCTTTCTTCCTACCCCTCCCTATCCCTTGTGTAGCACAGAAAGTGTGGAAGGTGGAGGAAAAGGCATTTCAACAAAACTAATCAATGCATGAACTGAGTCTAATAGTGTTTGCAAGATAACTTGCATTTCTGTAGTACATTAAGGTATATTTTCCCCCAGAACCATATGAGGTAGGTAATGTAAGTTGTATTTGTGCCCATTTCATAGATGAGGAAAAGGAGACTTAGAGAGAGGAAGAGAATTGTTGGAGGGAAGTGATGGATGGGAGAGATTTTTTTTGGTCATTTGGTGTTTTTTGAACCACCTCAACTAAGTGAAAATCCTTCATAGGTTAAAAAAAAACCCACGATGGGAGATTCAGCTAGAGGATATAACCCCTAATTAAGACAATGTCTTCCTTATTGACTTTCATCAGGTGAAAGAACAAGTTCACTCCCAATGAAACCTCAGTTTCCCCATCTGTTAAATGAGGGGGTTAGGCTAGATGACTTCTGAGATGCTGTGAATTCATACTCAACCCCACCTCCCACCAACTTTCTCTACTTTCTCCTCCCTCCCCCCTGTCATTCTCTTGACCTAGGTGAAATCACCAAAGTGTATGTAGTGCTGGGGCGTTGCCACACGTGGAATGCCCATAAACCTTCCTGGGTGAAATGGGACGGACAGCAGGGCAGGGGGAATGAGAGAGCAGGCTGAAAAAGAAGCTTAGGGAAATGTTTTGCATACTCTGGAGGGAGGGAGGAGGCCGGAGGCAGTGGGTGGCTGAGTGAGTGCCTGGGTGTAAATCATCGTTCGCAAAGCTGGGCTCTGTCTTGTGCCCCGGCTCAGCTCGGCTCAGGCAGCTCTGGGGGCTGAGCGAAGTTGAGATGTGGGATCTGGGCTTTAGAAGTTTGCTCCTGCAAGCTCTTTCTGCCCCTTCCCCCTTCTCCCACTTTGGGTGTCTGGGGCTGGCCAACAGCTTAGGGATTTTTAGGAAATGACTTACTGTTGTTTTCTTGGAGGAAGTGAAGGATTGGGTTTCCTTATTGTGTTTTCCTTAGCCGAATCCAGCTGCAGGACTAACTATCCCACAGCCCATGGATGGCATTGGGTACTCTGTCTATGGAATGGAATAGAATCAGGCCTGGCCTGCCTAAGGGAGCAAGGAACAAACTGATTCCCCCTACTCCAAGCCCCAATAAATTGCTGGTGCAAAATGCCACAGAATATTTTACTTGCATACACCCCAAGTGTATGCAAAAATATTTTAATTATGTACACCCCAAGAGCCTGAAGGGGGACTTTCCAAATTCAAGTTGGACTCTGTAATCTGCCAACTCTTAAGAAAGATTTGGTCAGCTCCTAAGTAAATTCTAACTTGGTGAATAGTTAATCTCATCCTTCTGAGTCTTTTCAAAGAAAAGAAAGAAGGCTATGATTAGGGATTGAGTTTGAACCCACAAAGTTTGAATGGCAAATAAGATACCAGGGAGGCCTTGGTTCAGTTCTCCCCCCATCTACCCCACACCAAGCAACTGGGAGATAACAGTAGGTAGAAAACCCTGGAAGGGAAAAATTTGTTTTAACTTGTAGCAACTGTCCTTTTGAGCTGCTGTCAAGCCAGCTGCCACTATCCCCTTTGCATAAGCTGCCTCTGTGTTTGGTTTTTATTTCGAACCTTTGGCCCTACTCCTGAGGCTTCCGTGCAGAGCCAGGCTCTTGGGGGTCGGGGGAAGAGCTTTGACCATAGGTCCAGCAGAAGAGCCTGCTTTGTGTTGCCACAGGTTGACCCTTTC